GGTGACTAGTCGACTATCAAAATAATCGTTTGTGGCAGCCCTACTATCAAACAGCCTCCACATCCAAAGGACGCGGTTGAGGTAATTCAGATATCTGATCGCCTCTGGATAAGCAGAAGAGGATTGACTTATGTAACGATGAAAGTCTTTATTTATTTATTTCTATATTTTTAGTTATTGGAGGTTACATCGCTGTTTATCATATACTTGATGAATCTTTTAAAAATCTTTGTCCTGCTCATCCGTGTGCATAAAGGTGGACTGTTTTCAAAGACTGAGATGTCTGAAGTACTGACAGAGATTTTGAAGGTGGACCCGTCCTTTGACAAAGACTCTTTTCTCAAGCAGTGTGAGCGCGACATCATCCCCAACATACTGGAGGTAACACCAATCTCAGCAGATATCATCAAGTGCTCGTTTTCTAAATCTTTAAAGTACCTCTGCAAAAGGAGAATACTCGGTGTGACTGTGCACTGCCTTCATGAAACAAGTCTAGACGACCACTTTAAGCCTTTTTCCCACACAGGCGATGATTCGAGGGGAGCTGGAGGTTCTGAAGGACTGGTGCTATGAAGCGGTATGTCCTGTTGCACACGCTGGCTCTGTGTGTTTAAATAAGTCGACTGACAGCTCCGTGGCTCTGCTGTGCCTTGATTATCTGCAGGTGCCAGTTTTTCATGAGGTGTCTTTGTCATTATGTGATCTCCATTTTCTCCTTCACTGGGTTTGCAGACGTACAGCCAGCTGGCACATCCAATCCAGCAAGCCAAGGCCATGGGGCTTCAGTTCCACTCCAAGATTCTGGACATCGACAGTATTGATGTGAGTTGCGTAAGACGAGAGTCTGGCTGATACTCAGACTACTGATACTCAGACTACTGGCTCTTCTTTGCAATCTCAGGTTTACAGATAGCAGCACTTCATATGTTTGCAGTTCATACGTGTGCTGACAGGAGCTGTAACGATTCTGATCACTGATTAGACTTTTATATTTGTAAATGTTCCACCTGATGACAGGAAATCCTCGAATTCTGGTCAGTAAATATTCATGCCTGTTGTTTTCCAGCTGGCCATGGGTAAGATGATGGACCAGGGTCCAGTGCTGATCATCACTTTCCAGGCTCAGTTGGTCATGGTGATCCGAAACAGCAAAGGAGAGGTGGTGGAAGGAGATCCTGTAAGTGACACACACACACAGAGTTGTTGATCATGAAGTATTACAGAGCTTTAGCTGGCCTGTTGTGAGATCTTTTAAATCGATCATTAAGTGAATATAACGAGACGGTGGAGTCATATTCAGCTGTTTGGACAAGGCCTTTGTTTGTTCTTTATGGGCTGTGAATCAGCCCCCGAGGACAGCTCGGGGACGCGTGTGGTTGGAAGCGAGGTCAAAGTATCCGTTCAGTACTGTGCAGCTGGCAGAGGCCCAGTGCTCAGGATACGAGGCTTCTGCCAAAGGATAAATGGTGGATGTCCTGTTCCTCTGCAGTTTATAAGCTGAGCATTAAATGACACACTCGACCGTTTATGGCTCCTGGACTCAGCGTCTCTGTTTCCACGTCTTTCATCTTTCAAACTTTTTAATGCGACATCTGGATGTTGACTGAAACTGAAAATCTGTTACATTGTTTTGCACTTTGTCCAAGGCTTCAGGGTTTTTGGTGTGACATTTTTACTTACTTGTCTAATATTTTTAAGAGTAAGATTGAGCTAAATCCGATAGTAATTATCTTTGGGATCTCCAAAGAAACACAAAATTTACAACACTCTCAAAAAGGTTTATGTCATATGTATTGATTATTGCAAAGAAACTGATCCTGCAGCTTTGGAAAGGCAAAGAGACTCCTGTATTAAAGACGTGGCTTACAGAACTTACAAATACTCTTCATCTTGAAAAAATAAGATATACCATGAATGATCATGTAAAAGACTTTGAATTAATCTGGCATCCTTTACTTACATACCTTGGGAAAATATAAACTTTCTTTTTTTCTGGCAGTCGGGGGATTGGGGCCCATAGTGGGTGTTGTTGTTTTTTGTTTTGTTTTGTTGTCTGTTTTGTAAGCTTAGAGAAAAAAGGGGCATAAGTTCTATCAATTTGTAACAACCATGATACTTGCTCCTAATAAAAGATATTTGAAACTGAAAATGTCAAGAAGCTTTCTGCACAGGCTGAGCCCCTCCCTCGATCAAGCCAGCAGCAAAACAGCTGTTTGTGTTCAATCAGTCGCTTACAGATGTATCATCAGTGTTATTTGTTTTGTTTGAATTTAAAGTGAAGTGCGCTCATCTGTCATTTTCCCTCCAGGATAAAGTCCTGCGGATGATGTACGTGTGGGCTCTGTGCCGAGACCAGGAAGAGCTCAACCCGTACGCTGCCTGGAGACTGTTGGATATCTCCGCCTCGAGCACGGAGCAGATCCTCTAAGACTCTTTGATGTGCACTAAACACTCACAGTCAGGGAGGCGGGGACGCACTCAGGTGGACGTGTGGGGGCCGGACTTTGCTATGAAAACGCTGTGGAGTGTTGCTGAAAGCTCGAGCTGCTTCTCCATCTATTGGCTTTGCTCCGTCAGTGATTCCTGACCGTTCCTCGGGCTCACACTTGGGGGCAGTAGACCACCACCAACATCCATCCAAAGTCCGTCTTGCAGCCTGTAGGCGGAGCTTTTCTGTTTGATGCGGCGCTGCCATTGTTGGCTTTTAAAAGATAAATGATGACATTTGATCAATATGGGAAACAATTATGTGGGAATCAGCTCAATAGATGCATAACTAATGTCGTCAAACAGACTCCTTCATATCCTGTCACCGTGATGTCACCGCGATGTCACCGCGATGTCACCCTATACCTTTATTCCACACCATAAACTTACTGGGCCCAGAGGTGGAACCATTGATCCCAGTGGCTGTGGGAGGGGCTACAGCAAAAAAACAAAACCACTGCCGTGATTTTATTTCCAAACATCAACTTTGTTGCCCAACACTATGGAATATCTGGTTTTCAAGCATGTGGGATGGTCGTTTCAGGACTAAGGCGAACGCCGGTCCTGAAGTCGCAGCACGCCGGCACCTGATTGGTGGAAAAGGTAACAGTGGCTGCTTTCGCCAGTGCCAATCAGTGCGCGCCCATCTTTACTGAGGATTGTCGTCCTTGTATGTATGATAATACTTCAGTGTGATTGTTGACCTGTAAGAGTCTATATTTATTATGAGAAATAAAATGAACGGTCACCTTTGGAAACAAACGGTTCGGCCGGCCTTTATTTTGGGACGAGATCATGTGATTCCTTCGAGGGCGGTTGCTAATTATTTTTTAAAATTAGATCCTCGTGTGGGATTTCACATCTCCAGGGCCGAGCGGAGGCTGAGCACATCTGATGATGTCACGATGTCGGGTGAACCGGATTGTTTCATCGGCATCCGCGATTCGTGCCGTTCGTGTTTCTCCTCAGTGACTTCTGGTGTGACTGCTCGGCCTTCAGTGCTGTGCTGTGCCGGCGTCGCTGTGCCTTGTTGTACAGTCAGCGTCCCAGGAGCTCGTCTCAGAAATGTGGAGGTTAGAAAGGCCACGTGGGACCTGAAGCATCTCCAGAATTCATCTCTACGGTTTCATTTCTGTGCTCAATAACTTTTGTAACACCTTCAGACAGTTTCATGAAAGAACAACAAAATCTTTATCAGCTTTTCTGATGTACACTGACTGGACGTATTTTTAGGTACACTTTGCTGCGACTGTATTGGACCCTCTTTGTTTCACAGCACAGACAGGAAGTGTTGGAAACGTTCCTCAGAGGTTCTGGTCCACACGACAGCGTTACAGTTACAGTCAGTGTGTCAGCTGCACATGCCAAAGGTGCTCTGTTGGACTGAGATCTGCAGTGAGCTGAAGATGGTAACTGTTTTCATAAAACGATGGACATGGTCAGCAACAATACTCAGGTCGGCTGTGACATGTAAACGATGCTCGGTTGGTGCTCAGGGGCCCACAGTGTCAGATCCACAGGATTACACCTGAACTGCTGATGCAAGCAGGATGGATCCATACTTTCATGTTTCCTTCACCAAATGTGATCCGACCTGGAATGGGAGTTGGATTCTGAGATTCTGATTCATTACTGGTATCAATTATTGATCCTTTATTGATTCTGTTATTGAGTCTGTTGGGTTCTCACTGGCTCGCTGTGACAGTCACCGCCATTGCTAAGCAGCTGTTACTTAATTACTCCCAGGAGAAAGTATTTCATTACATTACTTTGCTGCTTCAGCTGAATTACAGCTGAGGCTACGGTCCCGCACGCCAACGCAAGTTCCTGTCGCAATGAAGACGCGAGCGACCTTTCTCTCAGTATTCAAACACACAGCTGACTCGAGCGAAGATGAAACCAGCACAAAGACACTTGTGATCGCCGCAGTGACTCTACTTCAGAAAATAAACAGGTAGAAACCGAGGCTGCAGCTGGACTCAGTTCAGGGTCAGTTTGGGCTGTTTGGGCTAGCTCAGTGTGCTCAGCGTGTTCAATCATATGTTTCTATTTATGTATTTATTAGTAGTAGTACTAGTAATAATTTAGTTTGAGTTGGTTTCTAGCTCTCTGTAAACTCAGACGTTTATGTGGGAAACTCCCAGGAGATCATCAGTTTCTGGAACATTCAGATCAGCCGGTCTGGAGCCAACAAGCTGCCATGTTCAGAGTCACTGAACATCGTGACACTCAGTGTGACCTTCACGGTCACCGTGACCACGTCTGCCTGCATAACTGTGCTGAATTAGCTGATTACATATTTGCATTAATGTGCAGTTGAACCCAGTAAAGTTGGCGATGAGTAAATGTTTTCAGTCCAGATGAA